GCCGAGCCTCGCACCTGCGGCGTGCGATGGCAGGGCCTCGGTCGAAAGGTCACGCAAGAACTCCAATCGCCGAGGGCCTCCTCGGCCCCCCGATTGGCCAGTTCCCATTCCTGCGGCTCAGCTATGGCCCGGCCTGCGACGACTTGTGGTCGGGGTGGACCTGGACGGAGCGGAGGGTGATGTCCCACTCCATCCTCTCCCCCCACCCTAGTGCCAAGGCGGGCCTAGCTGGGTCGCCGTGGGGTCACCCACGCATGAGGCCACCGCACCTCCCTCTGGAGGACCAATCCAATCCCATCCCTCCCTCTCCCTCTCTCTCTATCTCTCCCTCCCTCCCTCTCTCCCTCTCTCCCTCCCTTCCTCTCTCCCTCTTCCTCCTCCTTCTCCTCCTCCTCCTCCTTCTCCTCCTCCTCGGCCTCCTCCTCCTCCTCCTTCTCCTTCTCTTCCTCCTTTTCTTCCTCCTTTTCTTCCTCCTTTTCTTCCTCCTGTTCCCCCTCCTCGTCCTGCTCGCTCCTCCTCCTCCTCCTCCTCCTCCTCCTCCTCCTCATCATCATCACATCATCATAATCTCATAACATCATCGCATCATCATGATCATCATCATCATCATCATCATCATAATCACCATCATCATCATCAGCAGCGAATCATCATCATCATCATCACAGCAGCATGATCATCATCATAATCATCACCATCACCATCACCATCACCATCACCATCACCATCACCATCACCATCACCATCACCATCACCATCACCACCATCATCATCATCAGCAGCAGCATCAGCATCATCATCATCATCAGCATCATCATCATCATCAGCATCATCATCATCACCATCATCATCACCAGTATCATCATTAGTATCATCATCATCATCACGATCATCGACGTCATCAGCATCGTCATCAGCAACATGATCACCAGCATCGTCATCCGCATCATCACCATCATCGTCATCGTCAACATCATTGGTACCACCACCATGATCATCATCAGCATCACCATCACCATCACCATCATCATCATCACCATCACCATCCGAACCATCAGCATCACCATCATCACAACGCAACCATCATCAGCATCACCATCATCAGTATGATCACCATCATCATCATCATCATCATCATCATCATCATCATCAGTATCAGCATCATTATCACCACCATCAGTATCTGCATCATCATCAGGATCAACATCGCTCTTCCTCCTTCCCCCTCCTCCTCCTCCTCCGTCTCCTCCTCCTTCCCCCCCTCCTCCGACACCTCCTCCTGGTCCCTCCTCCTCTTCCTCCTCCTCCCCCTTCTGCCGCATCTCCAGTCGATGGGGACTGGATGTGTGACGTTCCCTCCTGCCAATCAGACAAACAAGCGGTTTCTCGTTTAACGTTGACCCTGTGGCGACGATGCTGAAAAAAACGTTCCACCTCCCCCACATCCTCCTCCCCCCTCCTCTTCCTCATCCTACTACACCTGCACCTGCACCTCTTCCTTCTCCTCCTCCTCTTCCTCCTCCTCCTCCTTCTCCTCCTGCTCCCTCTTCCTCCTTACCCCCTCCTCCTCCTCGTCCGCACGTTCCTCCTTCTCCTCCTGCTCCTGCTCCTGCTCCTGCTCCTCCTCCTCCTCCTCCTCCTCCTCCTCATCGTCCTCCTCCTCCTTCTCCTCCTCCTCCGTCCAGTCCTCCGACACCTCCTCCTGGTCCCTCCTCCTCCTCCTCCTCCTCCGCCTCCTCTTCTTGCTTCCTGATTACCTTCTCCTCCTTCTCTTCCTCTTCCTCCTCCTCCTCCTCCTCCTCCTTCGCTCTCCGCCGTTCCCATCCCCCCGTCCTCCTTCCTCTTCCTCCCTCCTCCTCCTCCTCCTCCTCCTCCTCCTCCATTCATTTTCCTCATACCTCACTTCTCCTTGTCGCAGCCCGAGGTTAGTTTTTAGGGCGGACCGTTGCGCCTGAGACTTCCTCACGATATATGATCCTGAAACATAGAGATCGGCAACAACTTCAATCATGGGGGGCGGGTGGCTTTCAAAATGTGGCTCTCGCCTTAGCGCCGCGCACGCTCGCTTCCAACAGCTGCAAGAGCTTCACGGATTGAGGGCGGGTCGTGTTCAACATGTGGTTCTCGCCTTAGCGCCGCGTGCATTTATTCTAAAACGTTGCAGGAGCTTCACGGGTTGAGGGCGGGCCGTTTTCAAAATATGGTTATCGCTCGCCTTCGCGCCGCGTAATCTCCAAAAAATTGCAATCCTTTTTACGGATTGAGAGTGGTTCCTTTTCAAACTGTGGCTCTCGCCTTAGCGCCGCGTGCACTCATTTCAAAACATGTGCAAGAGCTTCACGGGTTGAGGGCGTGCCGCCTTAGCACCGCGCACATTCGCTTTAATAACTTGCAAGAGCTTCACGGATTGAGGGCGGCTCCTTTTCAAAATGTGGTTCTCGCCTCAGCGCCGCGTTAATTCGTTTAAGAGATTCAAGAGATTCACGGATTGAGGGCGGGTCGTTCTCAAAATGTGGCTCTCGCCTTAGCGCCACGCACCTTATTCTGTACACGTTGCAAGAATTCGTCGAAATGGTGCTTCGAATGGATTCCGGATTATGAGGGTGCAACAGCTACGCTGATTCGCGGTGTTCAAATTCCAGGATGGCGTCCTGGCAATATTCAGGATGGTCAAGACGCAACAACCAGGTTGATCCGTGGCGTTCGAATCCCGCGACCAGTGTTTTGGCATGCTTCAGGGTCTTCAAAACGGTTGTCTTCCAACGAGGCAGTTCCCCCAGTGGAAACGAAGCGCTGTAGGGGACTATGAAGAGGGAGCTTGGAGGGAGGGTTCATCCCAGCATCGTTGATGACTCTTGGGTTTACACTGGTCCTCCTCCTCCTCCTCCTCCTCCTCCTCCTCCTCCTCCTCTTCCTCGCAAGGGGGGGGTGTTCCCCGATCCCCCGCCGAAGGCTTCCGGCGGGTCCAGCTGCGGGGGGCTGTCGCAGACTGAGAAGGGCTCCACGCGCACGGTGACCGGCGGCAGCGGCCTGGATGAGCATCGTTTAACCGATCCTCGTCGTCGTCGTCGTCGTCGTCGCGGCCCTGTGGGCGTGGCGTGGTTGGTGCCCAGCTTCAGGGGGGCGCGAGGGAGCCCCAACCAAGCGCGCGAGCCGCTGCTTCTCGCAGCTCGTTCAACCATCGGGGAGAGCACGTGAGCCCGCACCAAAGGTCACTCCGGCGAAGGGTCACTCTTATGAGTGTCGTTTATCCGACCCCCATCCCCAGCGGCGTGGCCTGGGCCCCGCTGGCCGATTTACCCCCCTGGATGGGGATATAGGCCGTTCCCGTCGGGTTTCGAGGGGTGTATCCCCAACTGGAGTAGTAGTTTGGTGGGGGTCTCGAAGGGGATGAGGATGGGGATGGGGGTCGGTTAAACGATGCTGACTGGATGGGGCGTGGGAGGCAGGGGTTGGGAGGCAGCGAGGCGGCTGGGACCCAGACGTGATCGCGTCGTAACAGGAAAAAATCAGGACGGACATTTTTCAGAATTTTCGGCCTCTGGAGGCCCTCGCCGGGCCCCGGGGCCGTCAACAGAAACGACTCGGGATGCAAAGCCGGACCGTGGGAGAGTGTCGGGACTTCGGGGGACCGCGTGTCGAAGAAATCGGGATGTCGCGTATCTGGGGAAGGGGCGCGGGGGAAGAAGAAGAGCAGGGAGGGGGTAGGAGGGGAGGACGGAGGAGGGAGGGCGGAGGAGGGAGGAGGGAGGGGGGAAGGGGAAGGAGGGGATCGAGGATCGTGAGGAGGGGGCGTGGAAGGAGGGGGGAGGGCAGAGAGAGTGCGCGCCAGCTGCACCCAGTAGAACCTCTTTTGCGGGGGCACCCCAAGTCATCCTTTTCCTTTCCTTCCTCGTACGGGTGCCCGCCAGAAAAGGGTGACGGAGTTCCTCGCCCGTCAACGTGTAGGCCAGTAGTTACAGGAGGACTCCAGGCCGCAGGAGGGACGAACCACCCCCAACCACACGTGATGATCCCCAGCCCTCCTCCTCCTCCTCCCCATCCTCCTCGTCCTCCTCCTCCTGCTCCTCTTTCTCCTTCTCCTCCTGCTCCTCCTCCTTCTCCTGCTCCGCCTCCTCCTCCTACTCCGCCTCCTCCTCCTCCTGCTCCTCCTCCTCCTCCTCCTCCTCCTCCTCCTCCTCCTCCTCTGCTCCTCTTACCTCCTCGTCCTCCTCCTCCTCCCCATCCTCCCTCCTCCTCCTCCTTCCTCCTCCTCTTCCTCCTCCTCCTCCTCCTCTTCCCTCCTCGTATCCCCCCTCCTCCTCCTCCTCCTCCTCCTCCTCCTCCTCCTCCTCCTCCCTCCTAAACCATCGTTCCCCCCATCCTCCTCCTTCCTCCTCCTCCTCCTCCTCCTCCTCCTCAACTCCTCCTCCTCCTCCTCTTCTCCCTGCCTCTCCTCCTCCTCCTCCTCCTCCTCCTCCTCCTCCTCCTCCTCCTCCCACTCCTCTTTCCCTCTCCCTCCTTCCTTCTCCTCCGTCCCGCCCCTATCCCCTCCCGAGTTCGCTCCCCTCTCCAGGCCAGCTCCTCGTCTCCTGCCTTCTGCTCCCGAGCTTGGGCCTTCGGTCTCCGGGGCGAGCAGGCCTCAATTGGTGGCGAGCGAGGGGGGGAAACGAGAAGGAGAAGGCCTTCTCAAAGGCGGCGGGACTTCTCAGAAGCCCTCGCGACCTCTGAGAAACATGATCTGACAGAACATGCTTCTCAGACTGAAGTGTTCTGAGAAGTGTTCTACGCCTAAGCTGACGACAGACTCTCTTCAGGGAAGGCTTAGAACACTTCTCAGAAGGCCGGGGGACTTCCGAACCTTCTGAGAAGGCCTTCGCCTTCTCTCTTTCCTCCCCCCTCGCTCGCCGCCGACTTAAGTCGGGCCTGTCCCCCTACAGGCGGATTTTGGACGAAAACTTAAACATGGTAAAACAAATACGCCAACAATATTCAGACATGGTAAAACAAACATAGTTTCCAGGACTATTTTTTGAGCATTCCCCCTGTAGAGGGACTGGCCCGACTTAAAGCAAGCCCTCTTCCACGCTGCCCTCTTAAGCCTCTCGCGTTCGACTCGCGGAACTCACCGCAGCTGGCACATGCAATCACGAAACTGTCGCCTCTGACAGGCTGGGCGACATGCAGTTGGTGGCCTCGAGGATTGGCTGCGATCTGAGTGAACTGCTGCTGGCCTGGGGAGGGTCGAGGGATTCGGAGGAGAGGAGGCGGGACGGAAGAGAGGGAAGGAGGGAGGAAGAGGAGGAGGAAGCGCCGCATATCGCCACAGCGGAGCTGCGCCACAGCGTGCGACGGAGGGTGGCATGGTGGCCGCCGAGCAACACAATCCTCGAACCGATGTGAGGTTACTTCGACAGTACGTGGGCAAGCCGTGAAAGGACGAGGAACCACGGCAGAGACATGATGGAGGAGGGAGGGAAGAGGTGATGACTATATTTGCAAATGGGGGGGTACAGACTCGTCAGACCACGTCTCCCCCAAGACGGAGATCCGCAGCACCAGCCCGATGAAAAGGAGCATCTCCTCATCGAGTTGCCCCAGCATATCTTGTACAACCGACGTCGGCTCCGAAGAAAATGTTCGAATGATCACGGGATTGGTGGCGGAAAGCAGGGTAGGGTTCGCCCCGCCGTTTCTCAACGACCACCACCCTGAGCTAGCAGCCCACACTGAGACGGCACATGCGGACCGCTCAGCCATCGATCTGGAAGATCATGTGCTGATCGGCAGGTCTGTGCAGGCGGCACACTTGAGCTACGAGGGCACTTCTAAGAATAAGTATCGCCCTGCGGGGCGCGGGCACCAGCGTCAAGGAGGGAGGGAGGAGGGGAGGGCAAAGCAAGCTCAACAGGGAGGGAGGCAGGGAGGGAGGAGGGAGGGAAAACATGGAGGGAGGCAGGGATGGAGGAGGGAGGGAAGGATGGAGTGAGGGAGGGGGGACGAATCAAACTTCCAACAGGCTCAGACTCACCATGCTTGCTCTAGCTCCCCGAGTGCGCTTCGTGAGGCGGTGCTTCGCACGATGGGGGGAGCCCGAACGTCCCCTAAGGAGTCCAGAGCGGAGGCGTCCCTGGATGGATCGGGGGCAGTGCAGACGATGGGCGCGAGAACGCGAGTCAGCGCAAGCTGCGGCCTCGCGCCCTCGTCCTTGGCCAGCCGGTGGAACTGGAGGCTGAGCGGGATCGGGGTGGCGTTCATGAGCTCCTGCCCTCCTCCCCCCCTCTACTCGTCCGCCTCGTCCTCGTCCTCCTGCCGCTCCTCCTCCTCATCCTCATCAACCTCCGCCTCCTCCGCCTCCTCCTCGTCCTCCTCCTCCTCCTCCTCCTCCTCCTCCACCACCTCCACCTCCACCTCCACCTCCGCCTTCACCTTCACCTCCACCTCCACCTCCACCCTGCGCATCCTCCTCCTCCTCCTCCTCCTCCTCCTCCTCATTATTCTTTTTCTTCTCCTCCTCCTTCTCCTCCTGCTACCACGTCTCCCCCTGCTATGGGGGGTGCTTGCCAGCCCCCCCGAAACTTTCTGGTTTCCCCTCATCCTCCTCCTCTCCTCCTCCTCGTCAACCTTCCTCCTCCTCCTCCTCCTCCTCCTCCGCCTCACTCTCCTCCTCCCTCCTCTACTCCCCCTCCGTCTCCTCCTCCTCCCCTCCCTCCTCCTCCTCCTCCTCCTCCTCCACTTCCACCTCCACAAACCGCTTCCACCTCCACGTCCACCCGGCGATCGGCTCAAGTCCTCCTCCACCTCCTCCACCTGCGCTTTGCACTTCCACCTCCTCCTCCTCCTCCTCCTCCTTCTCCTCCTCCTTCTCCTCCTCCTCCTCCTCCTCCTCCTCTTATGCTTAATGCTCCAGCAATGCCCCCTCCCCGGTCCATGGGGACGGGACGCTCCCTCCTCCCAATCGGAAAAACAATCGGTTTCTCGTTCAACATTGACCCTGTGGCGTCGACGTTGTAAAATAACGCTGCAGGACTGGGGCGGGGCGCGCATCTCACGCGACAGGGTGAACCGTCGTTCTCGCCTTGGCGCCGCCCTCCTTTCTCTCGAAAGTTGAGCTCCCGCCCGCTCGGGCGCGGCGCACACTGGCTGGTCGCCGGCTCGTCGACAGTGGGATCGCGCGCGGGCAGGCGACCAAATGTCGTTCTCACGCGCGGGCAGGCGATCAAATGTCGTTCTCGTCTCGGCGCCGCGCGGATTTCGCCCGAGAGCGGCGCTCCCGCCTCGGTGCGGCGCATACCTGTTACAGGGGGATGCAAAAACGCCCCTACCCTGAGTTACAAGTGCGTGGTCTGTAAACCTCCTGGGAGCTCCTAAAGGCCAGAGGGCCGCCAAGACGCCGCGCGACACGCGCGATGTGCAGGGATTACCGTGTCAGCCCACAGAAGGTTCAGCGCACAGCGCCTCGTAAACCAGGGTAGGGACGTTTTTTGTACGCCCTTGGTGTTGCGAGAACGGGGCCCAAGTACTGCACCATGTCTGGACTCCCTTCCGGCGACGCGCCAGCGCGGTACGGTGCACAGCTGTTCGGCCCGGAGGGCCGAACAGCTATGCACCATACCATTCCTGGATCGAGGATCGACGACCCCTCGGGAGGAGGAGGAAGAAGAGGAGGAGAAGGAGGAAAAGGAGGAGAAGGAGGAGGAGAAGGAGGAGGAGGCGGAGGCAGAAGAGGAGGAGGAGGAGGAGGAGGAGGAGGAGGAGGAGGAGAGGGAAGGAGGAGAGGAGGAGGAAGGAGGAGGAGGGAGGGAGGAGGAGGAGGAGGAGGCGGAGGCGGAGGGGAGCAGGAGGAGGAGGGAAGGAGGAGGAGGGAAGGAGGAGGAGGAGGAGGAGGAGGAGGGAAGGAGGAGGAGGAGGCGGATCTGTTGCTCGCCAGGTCGCTGGGGGCGGGGCCGCGCGCGGGCGGGCGACTCGAGGCCCTCGCCCGGTCTCCGTGCAGATCTGCTTCCTGTCATCGCTCGGGCGCCCATGCCCCGCGCATGTCTGGGCTTTCGGCCCCCGACGGCGCTAAGGGCGTCCAAAGGGGCCCCAAGACGGCCCAAGACGCTTCCAAGACGGCCCGAGAGGCTTCCAAGACGGCTCCAAGAGGGAGCCCACACGGGGAGCCCGTCTCAGAAGGGCGCGAAGCATTTCATCTTACGCGTTGGTCAGCCGTTTCCTGTCCGTTCTCTGGACGGAGATAGCCTGCGTGTCAAGCCGGCCACGTTGCAGGTGAATCAGCACGCATTGATCTGCCCGCAGTATGATCACGAAGGCTTCTCGATTGTCCTCGCCGAGAAGATCCACATGTCTGAGCGATGCCAAGGGCGCGACGCGTGTTCTCGCGCGCCGAATCGTAGGAAAGCGGCAACGGCAGCGGGACCGCACGAGAACGGGGGAAATGCTCTCCTCGCCCAGGCGCCGCGCAGCTTGTTCATGAACGTGACTGTGCTGTTTCGGCGCGGCATGTTTCGTCGTTGCCGCGCTCAGCGGAAACTTGGCGGCACCAGGGATGGCTAAATGGTGCTCTCGCTGGAGCGCCGCGCAAATATTGTTTGACTAGAACCACGCGCGCGCGCTTCGCGCGCTGAGTTTCTTGCAAGGTCTTGTCGTGGTTCAAAGAGTTCGGCATCGGAAAACATATCATGACCAATGTTTTTGTTGTTTCTGAATTTCCCCACGGAAGCCTTGGGGACTTGTTGGGCCGCCTGAAGGCCATCCTGGAACGTCTTGGGGCCCTCTTGTGACATTTGGGGGGCGTCGCTGGCCTTCTAAGGCTCAACGTGCCGTTTCGAAATGTCATGTGGCGTTTCGTCCTCCTTTTTCGAGCGATCCAGGGGCACCTGAAGTCCCAGGAGGGCGTGCTCTGCTTTCAAAACCCACGATTCGAGTATGGGAATCGACTGCGACATTGATGTGCCCCTACATTGTTTTGCATTGTACGCATGTTTCATACACTCGGCGAGCACATCCATTTTGGGGGTAACAGAAATTCTGAAGTCGATCTCCTACTCGAAAGATGGCTTGAAGACGACCCAAGGAAGCCTCCATAGATCCTAGACGCCCTAAGATGGTCTCGAGACGGCCCCAAAAAGGTTCAGCAGACGCCCCTGGAGGCCCCCAAGAGATCCTGCAGAGGCTCCCAATGAAACCCTCAAGATGCCCCGAAGAGGCCCCCCAGAGGCCATCCCACGTTCCCCAAATGGCTTAAGCAACGGCTTGGGGAGCACGCGATCCACGCGATCCAACGGCTTGGGGAACAACGGTTTGGGGAGCCCTGCCGAAAGATTCTTTGTGACTCTCGGGCAGTCCGCCGCCACCGTACACAGCGCCCAACATCAGGACAACTCCCCTCCAAGTCAGCCAGCGTGAACCAAGATGGTCCTCAAGACGGGCCCGGACGGCACACGACGGTCACAGGTGACCTCCGAGATGACACGAGGGTCCCAAGAAGCCTCCAAGTTCGCCCTATATGCCTCCAAAATGGCCAAGATGGCCCGGAGGGGATCCGAGCATTTCCAGGACAGCCTGATGAAACCCAAACCACTGACTGTTTGAACTGCTTGAACGGTTTCCGTTTTCTCACCTTGTCGGGTTTCCAGAAGCCATGAGCGTCCTACAACCCCGAGGCGGCCAAAGAGGCCTCTGGTGGCCCCACGAAGGCCAAAACACCACATAATGTATCGCGCCAAGAGGGCCCCAGGACGGCCATACAATGACCGAAAAATCCTCATGACAGCCCCCGAGGATCCTGCGACGGTTTCCGGATGCGTCTGATAGCTTCATAGCGTCGCTCCGCCCAGGCAAACGTCTCACACGGATCGTGGCCCGAAAGGAGTTTCACGGACGGCCCCAGAGACAAGGTTCGCATTCCGACCCCTCGCCTACGTCGGCACACCTCTGACACGGATCGTGGCCCACAAGGATCTCGACCGACATCCCCAAGATGCAGAGTTCGCATTGCGCCCCCCCCCTTAACCAATACGGCGCACCACATCACGCGGATCGTGCAAACAGGAAGCACCACCTACAGGCCCAAAGACAAGGTTCGTACAGAGCTCACCCGCCCATGTCCGCACACCCGTCATGCGAATCGTGCCCCAGAATCAGCACAATCTTCTCGCGATTCGATGTTTGGTGGGTTGTATGGAGACTTCCAGAATTCGTCTGATGAAAGTATCAGAATTCGCCAGAATATGTCAGGAACCTCTGTGTTGCCTTAGGAATTCGGAACAATTCGGAATTCGAAAGAATCGTGGAAGTTATACAAAAATCTACTGCGCGCTAACACGCGCCCCGCTGCGTACCAATCAAGGCCGAAGCAACCAATCAGGGCCGAAAGTACCGTGGGCCACAAGGGGGGGAGGGGAAATCGGGCAGGGTCCGGGCGGGCGGCAATCCCAGACGTCGGGCGCCTCGGCAACACATCGAGGCGGAGGTTGTTCCTCGTTTGTCTGGGCCCTCCTGCTTGCTCTCCTGGCTTAGCCCAGCTTCGGCTGGCACCCCCCCACAATGCGCTTCGGGCATTGCCGCCGTGCGCATTGGGACCCGCATAGGTGTCCACGTAGGAATCCGCATAGGAGTCTGGTCCGCAGTCGTCGTCGTCGCCGTCGTCGTCGTCGTCGTCGTCGTCGTCGTCGTCGTCGTCGTGCAGAATTGCCGAGGCTGTCCGCTGCTCCGCTCCACGTGCACTTCGAGCGCGCTCACGCTCCCGATTCTGCCGGTGGCCTGCGCGGGCCTGACCCCGCCACGGACCTGTGGGAAGCGAGAGGCACGGCGCGCCTCTATGCCGCGTTCTCGTTATTCTCATTATTTTAACTACAACTATCATCACGATTATGAGTATGATGATTGTGATCACTATGATTATGACTATGATCATGATTATGGTTATGACTATTATTACCCTCGGGGCCCTTACCGGGCCTCGGGAGCGTCAACAAAAACGACTCGGGGATGAAAAACCAGCCCCGGGGACGTGGCCCAGGAGGTCGGGAGCCCGAGTGTCGACAAAATCGGGACACCGGATGTCTGGGATGGGTCGGCGGCGAGCGAGGGGGGGAAGTGAGAAGGAGAAGGCCTTCTGAGAAGGCTCGGAAGCCCCCTGGCCTTCTGAGAAGTTTTCCAAGCCTTCCCCGAAGACAGCAAAAACTTCTCAGAAGGCGATAGGGCTTCTGAGTAGTCCCGCAGCCTTCTGAGAAGGCCTTCTCTTTCTCCCTTCCCCCCCTCGCTCGCCGCCGAATGGGGGCGAGACTGGAAAACCTTCGACAGCCGACGAAAGCACTTCTCGAACCTCGAGCGAGGCCCGCCCCCTCCGCCGAGGGGGCGCCGAGGGAGCGCCGGAGGCGCCGCCAGGGGAGGCCCAGCGCCGGTCCAAGACTCCTCGTCCAAGACTCCTCCTCCTCCTCCTCTCTCTCCTCCTCCTCCTCTCCTCCCTCTCCTCCTTCCTCCTCCTCCTCCCCTCCTCCTCTCTCCTCCTCCTCCTCATGCTCCCTCCTCTCCTGCTCTGCACCCCCTCGACTCCATCCCCCCCCCCCCCCCCCCGCGCGGAGCTCCCAGAGCTCATGCGCTGATGCTGCTTGCGCCGTTGGCTCTTCTCCGATTGCCGAGGAGGTCGGGCGTGTGGTTCTGCGGGGTGGCCTAAGATAGGGAGCCGAACTCTATATACACTGACGCCTTTGTCTGGCCTCACACTGGATCTCGCACAGGAGAGCGGATCCTGGTGTATACGGGGATCTTGGTGTATACATTCTTCCTTGTTTCCCCGGGACAACGGCGAAACAAGTATACACCACACCACCCCGACGACGTCCCCGACCCTCAAAAAAGTCCTGGGATTGAAAAACCGCCCGCCGCTGGTAATGTATAGGCTCCAGTTTCCGATAAGAGGGGGGCGAAGAGAAATGCCCTCAACGTGCCCTCCTTCAGGGCCCGCTGCGGGGGCCGGCCGTCTCCCTCCCCCCCCCCCCCCTCCTCCTCCTCCTCCTCCTCCTCCTCCTCCTCTCCTCCTCCTCCTCTCCTCCTCCTCCTCTCCTCCTCCTCCTCCTCTCCTCCTCTCCTTCCTCCCCCTCCTGATCCTCCTCCTCCCCCCTCCTCCCTCCTCCTCCTCGTGTTCCTCCTCCTCCTCCTCCTCCGCCTCCTCCTCCTCCTCCTGTGGGACCTCTGTCTTGTCCCCCCACTGAGGTCGCCCCCCACTACCGCCCGTCCGAGCAGGGTGTGCCGGCCCCGGCCCCTTGGCCCCCCGGGCAGCCGGGCATATGATACACCCCCTGCTCAGGGTTAGGAGCAATCTCCCAGACCCCCTCGCGTTGTTAAAAAATCTCGACGTTTTTTTCTCGTTATTTTCTGCCTCCTGGGGCCCTCACCAAGGCCCGGGACCGTTAAAAAGACGGCTCGGGATGAAAAACTGGTCCCGGAGAAAGGGTCGGGACTTCTGGGGGCCGCGTATGGAAACAATCCAAACGTCGCATGTCTAGGTTAAGCTAAGAGAATGGAATTCAACCGAAGCGTTTCTTACCCAGCAGTCCTGGCCCACATACATTATCATAAAATAATAATAGCATTAACAATCAGGTTGATTAATTAATAACATATCTATACACGTAAAGCTATGTGTATACACGGAGGTTCTCAGAGCAAAAACAAGGGAGCTCCAAAAAAAACAGAAGTCTACGGAAGTTGCTACTTGTTCTTGAGATTTCTCATGGGTGTGTGAGACATGTCGCCGCGCCGCTTGTTCTCGAGGCGCGTAAGCAGCCGACGCCGACACCACGGCAAGCCCACGGCATGCCCACGGCAACCCCAGCGGCCCGCGCCCCCAGTAAACGAGGTCGGCACCGCGGCAAACCCCACGGCGAACCCCGGCGTCCGAGGCGGAGCTTGTCCCGGTGGCAGCGGTGCCCTCCCGAAGACGTAGGGCCGCACGTCGGAACAAACGGCGCGGCGACATGTGATATATGCTTCGCTCCCACCCCTGCGCGGCCCGCGATTTTCTCCCTCGCCAAATCGTCGGAAGCGGCACCGCGCGCGGGCGCCTTCCGTTCGCCAGATGGCAGCGCGCCCTGGTACCAATACCAAGTTCTACCGCCATTGAACTGTTCATGTCACATCCGAGCAGATGATCAAGAAGCTTGCCAGTTGAAGAAATCTGAACACACCTTCTCGAGTTCCTGCAGACAAAACTGGGACGATTCCTGTCGCTAACGCTCGAGGGGGCGCACGTGCCTGAGAAACTGTGCCACCTCTCCAGCAAGTTGGTAGGAAACGTGGTCGAAGGATTGCAAAAAAAACCAAGGATTGCAAAAAAAACCTTCGTTCAAGGGTTTTTTTGCAATCCTTCTTTTTGCAATCCTTCGTTTTTTGCAATCCTTCGCTTTTCGGCAAGAGGCTTCACAAGCGGATGCTCGACTGTAGAGGAGGGAGGGTGGGAATCGGCGGGGCCCGCTGGTTCGTTCCACCTCGCTGCCTTGACTCCTCCTCTGACGCCTCTGACTCCTCTCCGCCCACGTCTCCAGTTTTGGTTCGCCATCGGCGGCGATTCTTTTGTTGGGCGCGCATGATAGTTCTGCGAAGTCTGCCTGGTGCCCTTTCAACTCTGTGAGCCAACTGCAAAAGGGCACCGGTCCACCAGTGCCCTGTCGTATCCTCCAGCCGACTAGCAGGACTGGAGGCGATCGCGCCGTCGTGTTACCAGTGCTGCTGCTACTGAGCTGGGAAGCTTGCCCTCTCGCGAGGCCTTCTTCGCCTGCACGCTGCTGCCCCAGCAGGAGGACAACGAGGAGGATCAGGACTGGAGGGGGTCAGAGAAGGGGGTTTGAACAGGAAGAAAGGATGAGGGCAAATCATCCGCTCAAAAGCGGTCCCCATACCCCTCGCGGGGTCCATCTGGTGCACGCTTTCATCCCGCATCCAATTCTGCTGGCCCCGGGGCCCGAAAACGGCCACGGGGGACCGAAGAAAGCGAAAGACTGTCTCTCGAAGCCAGACGCCTCGGACCTCGGTCCCCCCTTGCTTGCCCGCCGGAACCAGTGCTGGGCCACCTGGGACTCCCAGACGGCTCCACGGTGCGGAGGTGGTGCGCCGTGCCTGGGCTTCTCGGAGCCTGCGAGGGGCCGCTGGGGCAGCGGGCAGCCTCGGGGGCCCTCAGGTCCTCGAGGGGGCGCGGGGAGGAGTCCAGCGGCCGCAGGGTTGCCCGCGCGGCTTCCCCTATGCCCTTGCCCCTCCCCGCTCCCTCTCCCTCCCGCCCATCCTTCCCCCCCTCCCCCGCACCTGTGCAAATGTCGGCTAGCTTTTGGTCGCTCCACGAGGCTCCAGGAAATGGTCGGGCCCCACCTGTGCACGGCCGCCCGCGTCTCTCGAGAAGGAAGAGGCAGAGTACACAGTACGAGCATACGGTCGTTTGGTGTGAGTGCGTATGCGCTTGTGGAGCATCGTCTGGCACATTGCTCCTGCGGGAAGGCGGTGGCTCGCCTCCTCCTCCTCCTCCTCCTGCTCCTCCTCCTCCTCCTGCTCCTCCTCCTCCTCCTCCTCCTCCTCCTCTCCTCCCCCTCCTCCTCCTCCTCCTGCTCCCCGTTCCTTCCTCTCTGCTCCTCCTCCTCTGCTCCTACTCCTCCTCCTCCTCCTCCTCCCTCCTCCTCTCCTTCTCCTCCGCTCCTCCTCCTCCTCCTCCTCCTCCTCCCTCCTCTCCTCCTCCTCCTCCTGCTCCCCGTCCTCCTCCTCCTGCTCCTCCTCCCTCTGCTCCTCCTCCTCCTCCTCCTCCTCCTCCTCCTCCTCCTCCCGCCCTCGCTCCCCCAAGTGGTTCGCCCCCCCCTGGGCTGCCCCCCGTCCGCGCTCCCCTCCAGCGGAGTGCAGATGTGCACCGACAGGATGTCGAGGCCCGCCGACGCAGCAGAATCACCGATCGGCGACCTGTCGGGGCATGGGGAGCGTGGAGGAGGTCTTGGGCACATCTCGGGTCATGGTCTTGGATCCTTCTCTTATTATCCTGAGAACATGTCGTGGTAGGTCGAAAGGAAAGCCTGGACGGACGGCCCCTGTCCATGCCATACCTCACCCTCGAGACAAAAACGACGGCATAAACATAAACTTCTGGCGCTCCGCGCGGACTCCTTGGATCTGCGCTGGACCTCCCTCCCTGGCGCGCGGAGCGCGTCAGGGGCGGCGCCGGTGAGGCCCAGCGCGGATATAAGAAATTCGCGCGGAATGTCGAACATATATGTTGATGCCGTTGTTCTCTTCTTCGACAAGTATGGGCTGAGCAGGGACCGACCATCCCGGCATTCCTGTGGACCTGCCACGACACGTTCTTAGGACAAAAGAAGGATCCAAGACCCGAGACGTGCCCAGCACATTTTCCACGCGAGGCGACCACTTGTATGAACGATCCATACACAACAACATCTCGCGCCTCATCTCCGCCGTGCCTCCCAGGAGCCGACGTGGGTGCCGACCGTTGCGCACGAGGGAGCCGCGAGGTCTCGAAGTGAGCTGCGCTGTCCTCACCTCCGCCGTGCCTCCCAGGAGTCCACGAAGGTGGCGACAGTTGAACAGTTCGCAGCCCACGATGGGAGCCGCGAGGTAGGTCTCGACTTGCCCTGCGCTGCCCTCACCTCCGCCGTGCCTCCCAGGAGCCCACGAACGTGGCGACTGTTGATCAGTTCGCAGCCAACGAGGGGGGCCGCGAGGTCTCGAAATGCCCTGTGCGGCCCTCACCTCCGCCGTGCCGGCCCCGTCCTGGAGACGGCCCCTGAGCCCGAAGTGAGCAAAACACCTGCTCGAGCAGAGCCTCGAACCTGCTGCCCCCTTCTGCTGGCCGGGGCCAGTGCTGGGTCAGACCCCTTGCCAACCCCAAGAGAGGCAGAGGACTGGCTCGGGAAGAAACGTTCACATTTCGTGCCCCGTTTGGACCCCTTTACAAGGGCCCATTTAGGGCACAAGAGGTGCCCATCACGCATCGCGCGGGGGAAAAGGGAGAGAGGGAGTGGCCGGGTCCTCTGAAAAAGAGCCTGGAAGACAGCTCCTGTGGAGACGCTTCTCGGAAAACGAGGCGGCGAATACCGCCGGAAAAGAGCACCGCGTCATGAGAGAGGGAGGAGAGGAAAGGGATGAGGAAGGGAGCAGGAGGGGGAGATAAGAATATCACCAATACGAGATGCATGTAAACTCGAATCCGTATCGGCCTAGCGCTGCAGATTCCCTGCAGCCTCACCGGCCATAACAGCGCATGCATAATGAGATGATACGTACCAGGCGGGGGAACTAGACAGCGCAGCGACGCGGGTTTTGAGAGGAAAACGAGGAGGAGAAACAACTCGGTTCACTTACACATCTTCCCACATGTCGGTGTCCCGCAAAATCTGCCAGTCCGCTGGCGGCATGTCGCATGCCGGCTTCGGAGCTGCTCTTTTTTTGATAGCCCTTGCAGCGCATCAAAGGGGAAGGACAGGGAGGGCAGAGAGGGGTGGAAATGGGGGAGGGAGAGTAGGGGGGAACGAGAGGGGAGGCTGTCATTGCCCTCGCAGTCTTCGTCCTTCATGTGCGGATGCTCGCGCTCGCCATCGTCCTCGTAGTTGCCGTCGACGTCCTCCGCCTCATCCTCCTCCGCCTTGTGCTCCCCCTCCTGATCCCCACGCCTTGTCACATCTTCCTCCTCCTATTCTTACCCATTCCATCTCCTGTGTCTCTTCCTGCTCCTGCCACCTCTCCTCCGCTCCAACTCCTCGTACTAATATGTAATCCCTCCTCGACGCACCTGCCGTGCGTGTCCTTCGGCACCTCATCACGAGGTCAGAGCTTGGAGGTGCGACCGAATTGGAACATGTCGAACAAGATATCGATTACAGAATTGGCCTGCCCAGAAATTGATTCCCGTTGAACCTCTGAGAAGAAGCAGAAAGCTCCACAAAAACTTGTAAACCCGACGAGAAAACAAATTTTGAGGTAAATCATTTCTGAGTCGATCCCCTACTCAAGATGTGCCCCAGCTGGGAAATCGTTCGGTTTCGTTCGCAGCGCGCGGGCGGGCGAGGCGAAGCTGCGCGCGAGCTCCTGCCCTTGTAAGAGCCACGTCAAGCTGCGGGACCGCGTCGCTGTTCCTATTTACTCCTGCTGGCTCCCGGTTGCCCCGCCGGTTGTCCTGATGGTTGTCTCAATGGTTGTCCCGATGGTTGTCCCGATAGTTGTGTCGATGGTTGTTCCGCTTGTTGTCCCGCTGGTCCTGCCACAATAGTGTGTCCCGCCGGTTGATGCACATACGTACCTGTACAACCACCCTTCGGATGATAAGGAGGTTGTGGGGGGGGGAATTCAGCTTTCGGTGTGCGATTGGGGTCGGATCGGATTCGGCGGAAACCAGTTGGGCGCCACTGAGCAATTTTTTGGTCATTCATCTATCGATATCCCTCTCTATCTACCTACGGGTCTCACTATCGATCTCCCTCTGTCTATCGATACCACGGTCCCTCGATCTCACAATCGACCAAACCATCGATCGCACCATCAGTTTGTTGATCGATCTCAATGTCGATCTCGCAGCTAACATCACGTGACACCACGGGACACCGCGCCACGGGACACCAGGGAACACCACAGGACACGACGGGATTCCACGGGACACCGTGCCACAGTACACCACGGGACACGGCGGGACAACGGCAGGACACCCCCGAGCCACCGGTGGCCAACTGGGGGGCGTAGAATCATTGAGCTCAGCTTCGCCTTGGCAGCGTCGGGTTCATTCTTCTCGCGCGCCAACGCAGCTTCGCCTCGCACCCACGCGCGGCACGAACACAAAACCGAAACCAATTTCTTAAGTTTCCGTTCCACTTCGAATTCCCCCCCCTCATCCGATATGTTAGCCAGCTTGAACCCCGAAGCGTGCGTCTCTCGCAATATATGTTGCGCAATCGATGTGGAGCAAATCTGCGTAATGCAATCCATGTCTGTTCGCAGTGAATTGTCAACTCCACTGCTCCCCCAACCATCCCACAAACAAGCCTCAACTTTGTTTGCAAGATCCATGCGGGGCGACTGCGATGAGTGCTTGGCGTTGGCTGGTGCATATGCATGGCCGCGCTAGCCCGCGAATGCTTGCGCGCGCAGCAGCCGGTCAATGCGGCGTGACCGACGCGGCCGCGGTGGCGCTGACCGCTGAGTATTTCCCAGCGGGCACTTCAGTACGAGTCGGCAGAGGTGGGCGCGGTATCATGGAAACGTCGACCGCGTTAGACACGATGCTGGTCGGAGCGATGCTGGTGACGATGGTGGCGATGACGACGGCAATGCCAATGACGGCGCCGATGTTGATCGCGCCCGCCGATAACGATGACGATGTCCTCGAGTCGGCGATGAAGTTTTTTGAAGGAGTTCAACATGCGCGCGCGGCCAACGCCCGCGAGTGGCCCGCGCGGTATGATCCGACACGGATCGCGCCCCCCTTCCACCCCCCTTGTGCGCGCACAAGGGCTTTCCAATGAGTTCGACATGCGGAGCGAGAGGCCCGTTTGGGAAAGCGCAGTACCATGGCAACGTAGTTAGCGGTAGACACGATGGTGATAGTAGCGACGCTGGTGACGATGATGACAACGGCGACGGCACGGTAAGCGACGGCGCCGATGCTGATCGCGCCGACAACCAAAATGGCGCCCTCGCGTCGGCGACGAAGATTTTAGAGGAGCTCGACACGCGCGCGCGGCCGACGCGCGAGTGGCCCGCATGGCATTATTTGATGCGCATCACGCCCCGCCCCCCCCCCCAGCGCGCGGGGGCGCTCGAATGATGTCAACTTTCGGCGCGAAAAGTCCGTTGGGCGCAGTTCAACGGGAAGGATGAACGCTGTTTTCCTGGAGAACTCGCCAGAGCGCGAGCGCAAGCTTGTTTTGATCATTCGCCTGCGAAGCCATGTCTTTTATATGTTTTCGGTGCTCTCGATCTTGAAATCCGTGCGAAACCCAAGGCTTTCGAACACTTCAAGCACGCGCGAGGGACCGCGCGCGCGTGCACTTAAATTTTTTGGGCCAGGGACTCTTGCGACAGCACGCGCGCAAGGGCGTTCGAACGATTGTCGACGCGCGCGCGAGGGGCCCAGTTGGCAGCATGTCATGACAGCGTAGGAAGACACCTGGCTGCCTCGAGAATTCTCTATAGCGCGAGCACAACTTGTTTTGAGCTTTATTGTTGCGAACCCCTGTGTGTTCCATGTGTTTTGGGGGCGCTTGGTTCTGAAATCCCGACGAAACAATACTGCTGGGGGACTTCGGCGCGCGCGCGAAGACGCGCGCGCGCCGCCGCATTTCTGTTGCAATGGGTTCTTGAAAGCCGATGATTTTATACAAACAAATGCGCGCGCATCCAGGTTGGAAGGGGGGGGGGGGGGGGCCTTACCAGCTTAGCTGGGGTGTTGCGAACATATATCTATGATGGGCGATGGGGAAGAATGGCATTTACATTGCAGCGACAATTGGGGGCGGATAAGTCCCGGGGGGATGGGGGGGGCCTAATGCGCTTTTAAAAAAGAGTATTAATATTTGTTCGCGACGAGTTGCCCGCCCCGCCGCTCGCGGAGGGGGGGGGGGGGGGCCCCGCCCAGAACTTGGCGCGCAGCGCAACCCATGCGGCGGCACTTGCGCTGCGAACTTGGCGCTGGCAGGTGCGTCTATGCGGCGGCGCCAGCCCGCGCGCGCTCGCGGGCGCAGCGGCCGTAAAATTCGGCGCCGCCGGCGGGGCCGCGGTGGCGCTGACCGCCGAGTACTCCCCAGCGGGCACTTCAGTGCGAGTCGGCGACATGAGCGGGCGCGGTATCATGGCGACGTCGACAGCGGTAGACGCGACGACGCTGGCGGCGATGCATGCGACGATGGCGACAACGACGATGGCGAAGCCGGCGACGGCGCCGACGCCGATCGCTCCGACGACGATGACGGCGCCCTCGCGTCGGCAACGCAGGTTTTGGAAGGACTTCGACGCGCGCGCGCGGCCGACGCGCGAGAATGGCCCGCGCG